TAAGGATTACCTTTGCATCTCTAATTTTTGACTTTCCGTTCCTAGGTGTTGAGTTTGGTGCACGGATGATCACTATCGATAGCAAGCAGATAAAATTACAAATTTGGGATACCGCAGGTGCCTTGATTTTCCCCTTTACGTTTTCTTTGATTTTAGGAAAGTAAAAAATCAGAATAATTCAAATTTCACTTGCATTACCTTTCTATAGAACATGGAATGAAACGATTGTATACACATCTTTACTGGTTAAGCTCGTGCTGTTCATACTAGGATTTGCTTCTTCACGCCACTCGTTTTCAGGTCAAGAGTCGTTCAGATCAATTACTCGTTCTTATTATCGTGGAGCGGCTGGTGCTTTATTAGTTTATGATATAACTAGGCAGGATTTGTTTTCTTTTTAGATGTTTCTTTTTTAAATAAAGTTGAGATTTTTTTTTTTTAATGGTTTTGTTTTCTGGACGCTTCTTTTTGATTTTTCTATTACACTGTTCATCTTTTATTTATTTTAATTTCTTGTCTAATTCACCGTTACTATCATTTTATAGTGTTTTACTTGTATTTGAAATGTCGAGGTCTTCCTTAACTATTTTAGAAGGGACACATTCAATCACTTAACTTCGTGGCTTGAAGATGCTCGGCAACATTCTAACTCGAACATGGTTATAATGCTTATTGGCAATAAAAGGTCTGCATACGCAGAAACGTCAAGAATATTCTAGAGGGTAGGAGGGGAATAAATCACTAAATCAATGGCACGATTGTCCGGTTTTTATATTCTCGAATTTGCTCTTTTTTTGTGATTCGTCAAAATGACGAAGAGGACTGAAAATATTGATTTTCGAAATAAAAAGCCTTTCCAGTGTGAAGATGCTTCACTAAGCTGAAACTCTAAGTAGGTCCGATAGCTAGTTTTCTATTTTTTTGTTCAAGGCGTGGTAGTTTCTTGCTAAGATGGTAATATTTTAGTGATCTGGAAGCGAGACGGGAAGTGAAGAAAGAGGAAGGGGAGGCGTTTGCTCACGAACATGGTTTGGTATTCATGGAGACTTCTGCCAAAACTGCAGCAAATGTTGAAGAGGTCCCCTTTTTTTTTTTTTT